AAAGCTGTCATGAAAAAAAGAACATGAGTTCATTTTAGAGTCTGTGTGGCAAACACAGCACAGACAGTGTATGTAGCTGCCTAGTTCCTAACCAAGCCTGTACCACCTTTGCCTACAGGAAACCTGGAGAGAGAGACTTTTTGCACAGGCATGTAGGCATGGATTAGAGGGCATGGTTTTAAACTGAAAGAAGGTACATTTAGATTGGATATTAATAAATTCTTTACCATGAGGGTGGTGAGACACTGGAACAGGTTGCCCAGAGGAGTAGTGGATGCACCCTCCCTGAGATGTTCAAAGACAGGCTGGATGGGGCTTTGGACAACTTGGTCTGTCCCTACCCATGCAGGGGGTTGGACCCGGATGAACTTTAAGGTCCCTTCAAGCCCAAACCAGTCTATGATGCTATGATTCTTTGTGTGCCAAAGTTGTCCTAGTTGTATTAGCTTTGGTTTTAATACCACAGCTGGAAAAACATATGGTAATTTTACCTCCTCTCTTTCAATAATTCATTCCTCCCCCAAACAATCAAGAACCAAACCAAGTTTTAGAAAAAGCAGGGTCTGAAGATCTGGACACTGTTAGGAGCCATGCAGAGTCTGGCTTGGCTGCCAATTTAATTTATAGTCTTGAGCAAGTCAATTAAATTCTCATCAAGTCTTCCCTCAGTAAAATTAAGAATAATTACTTGCTTTGTAGAGATGCAGCAGAGACTGAGGAAATCTTTAAATAGTTTATTCAAGATGTTAAAATCTCTTAAGAATTATGTAGAAACCTCGATTAGGATTTATTAAAAGATTATTTAAAAACACAATAGCATAAAAAGTATCCTCATTGAAACTAATTGATGAAATAACAATGTTGAAAAACTTCTCAGACGTGAAGGATGGAACGTAAGTCTGTGGTTGCCTGGCAGGGCACAATCAGCTCTGAGAAGCAACTGTGCTCTATTTGCTATGGTGGAACAAAGTCAGTGCAGATACACGAGGAAATTCTTGTAGTCTATGATACTCTAGTGTCTTCCATTTTACCATTTTTATTATTCAAGATCTGACAGCACTTTGGATCTTTAGCTGGGATCTGTCCTGGTGTGGTTGGTACCGCAGACACAGAAGATAATTAAGTCCCCTGCTCCAACGAGCTTATGCCAAAGGTCCTGAATGTCCACCAATTTATATCATATAGGGATGAGGCCATAAATATCAACAACTCTGTTTTAAAGATATAGAATTAGTTTGTGTAAATGCGTCATCACAGGAGATAAGCTCAAATTCATGATGAAAAGTGTCACAGGGATTCCCCTGCCAGATGCACGAAGCACAAAGTAGCAATAGAAGCATCCCAGCTGTGGGTGTATGTCAGTGGTCTGGACGTGCTCTGTGTGCAAACTGAGAGGTGCAAATACCAGGGAGGAGGCCCAGAAGAGGCAGGGTAACTAACTGGCCTTGCAGAGTGTTAGATGGATCTCCTCTGGTTTTGGCAGCCCAAGATAAAGCACAAATGCATTTGAAGAAAACCTGACCTTAAATTTACTGAGGTAGATGTTACTGGCAGAACACAAGCCAGTTCCATCAGCACGCCTGAGACAAAACACAATGTGGGGCCATGTTGTCACAGATTTTGAATGTAAAAAGTAGAAATTTGAGCTGATATATAGAGAATGAAAAGCCACAAGAGGGAACATTAAAACCAAAGACAGCTTGCATTTTTATACATGCATGTCTTTGCATATCCTCAAAGTTAATTGTTAACCTAATAATAATGCTGTGCTCAAGAGATAATTATCTCGTGCCCAATGAACATGGTCCTTCTACCCCATCTCGTACTGTAAGACAAAGAATAGAAAACAAGGCTATCAAATTTGCCATTTTAGAAAGCACCATGTCCTGATTTGAGCCAGGATGAAGCAAATTTTCCTTTTACTGATTTTTTTTCCTTCAGTAAGCTTTCTCTTAACTAGTAGCAGAGTGTCCCAGCTAGGAATGATAACAAACTGTGGAATGTTTTTCTAACTGCTGGGTCTTCAAGGTCGCACCTTCACTCTGCCGGCTCAGACACTACGGGGAGATCTGTGACCCCCCCATAGGAGGCCGTGTTAGACAGACAGCAAAATTGGCCAGAGATATTCCATTCCATGTATCTACGTAAGCTCAGAGGAAGGTTAGAGATCACAGAAGACAACTTCCTTCCTGCTTCTTCTTCCCTTCTCTTCCCTCCATGGCCGGTGTCCGGGGAGGACTCCGTCCATCCATCACCATTGACCCCCAGGCTCGAGCTCTCCTGACCCTCATCACTCTGTGCTCTCTCTCCAGCAGCAGCTCCGGGATTCCTCAGGACTGTTCCCAGCTCAGGAGATGCTGTGGGAGTTGCTGGGTGGGGGGAGTCAATAGGGGTTTTGCACATTTCCAGAACATCCTGAACACATTTGTAAATAATTGTACATATTTTCTTTTATCATTGGTGTTTAATTAAAGCTGTGTAGTTTAGTTTTCAATCCAGCAAAGTCTCTCTCTTTTTCTCTCTCTCCTTCCCTACCTGGGTGTGGGGGGGAAGGGGATCAAGAGTTTTGTTGATTCTGAGACAAACAGTGACACACCACTGAGCAGTAAACCATTTGACCCATACAATTTCTTCACAAGTGATAATGTAATAAAAAGATGGATCAGGTGAGAACTGCTGCCTTATCCCCACCATACTACTCGAGATTGCTGTGCATCCAGTTCCTACCACTATCTGATACAGCAAATAATGTAAGAGGAAGAGTCAGACATTGCCAAAACAGAAGCCTCAGAAGAGCTAATTCAAGCAGTTCATACCCATTTCCTTCAGTCACTCCTCCTTTACCTACCCCTTCCCTTTTCCTCTGCTCAGCCTGCATCATCCATTTGTACAGCTGTGCTTTAACAGAAGAGGGGCAAACTGCCTGCAGTGGGGAGGGCTGGGGGTGAAAAAAGAGCTTCTGTTAATTTGGGGTTTATTCCAAATTTATTACTGGCCATGCTTGCAAAGCAAAATTATTTCCCCTCTTCCCCTACTGATACACACACAGGGGTACATACAGATATCCAAGCACTTTAAGATTTACAGTGAAGCAAAGGGGCAGGATGCTACTCCAAATTGCAGGTTACACAGCCACACTGTGTATTGGTGGCACAAGGGCCATTACTCTGATTTTACACATGCAGTGAAAGCCAAACCTTCCTCTTTTCCTCATTTTCAAATGAAAGAGCAGAACAAGGTTGCTCAGTTCACTGTCTGTTTTCTCTGGGGCAGCACAGCTAGGTTTTATGTTGATTTTTTGGTGACATATCAGTGCAGGTCAGATGCTGTCCTTGAAGATATGGGTCTGTTTGTGTATTTACATATCTGCAATTAACACTGCATAAGCTAAAATGGAGCCTTACAGGACATTTTTCTCAGGTCATCCTGCTGTACCGATGAGGAGGCTGCTCAGCACAACACGAGGGTGTCTCTGCACGGCAGAGCATGGGAGAGCACAGACACAGCAAGATACACTCTACTGCCTGCAACAGACACCTCTGATGACAACATGACTGTCACTATCCATGAGGCTACACAAAACCAGTAGCAGCAAGTGTCTGTTCCAGTGACACTGCTTCACACCTCCAGTTGCCCTGGTGCCACTCAGGTTTAGGTTGGTTGCAGTGATCACTGTCTTCGTAAGAAGTTTTTTAAAGTTTTATGAAATGGTAAAGGTCTCTTGTAGAAAGTAAAGGAGAATTAAAAACTGCAGAGCTCCAAAACAGAAAGAGCAAAAGTAAATTCAGTGCAACAAAGGGTCGCTTTCTAAAGACATTAAACAGTTTTAAGACTACATGCTAGTCTAAGTAAATGAACACACCCTTGTTATTACAGAGGCAACCAAAGTGGGAAGAATGGAAACAGGCTGTTATAGGTAAAGCCAAATGAGATGTTGCTTAGTAACTCTCAGCAGGGAAGCATTTCAGCCCAGCCATTTTAGGGAACCTGATGTTCTGACTCAAGGATTATTTTCTCTGGAAAAAAATCTGAAACCAGGAAAACTCAATTTAATAAACATACAATTAATTTCCCTGTTACAGCAAAGCATGGTGATAATGCTTGGGAAAATACAGATGTATTTATAAACTTGTACAAGGAGGAACAGACAAGGCATGTTTTCAGCAAAAGCATCACTTTACTGAACATGTTTTTTCTTGCTGATTTTTCACCCCAAATACAGTAAACTTCACATTATTTTTTATTTTCAAATTGTGAAATACACAAGTGATAACAGGAGTCTGGAGGTACTACACAGATCATCCTATTATTATAACATTATTTCTGTAAGATTAGGTTCCTGGAGCAAACCCTACCTCAGCTCTGTTGTTGGACACAGATGGAAAAGAAGAAAAAATTGGTTCCTCCACTTGTTCTGTTGCCTGGAATAATTCTAATTAGGCCCTTCTTCAGGTCTTTGCTTTTATGGGTTCACAGAGATGTCACTTGGCTTGGCCAAAGATATCTCGTATCAGGGGAAAAAAACCCCCATAAACCTTATTTGGAGATTCACGTTGTTTTTGTTTCCCTTTAGAAAGATATGATGTTTCCTATGGAAGTAAAAGCTCTGGGGTGATCAGGCAAGTACATCTGTGTTCATTGCTGCCACAACTATTGTTCAGCATAGGCAAGAGTCAGGTACAGGAAAGCACTTCCTTTCAGCAGCCTCATTACAGATAATGATGATAGTTATGAATGTAAACTATTGCATAGATTTAAAAAAAAATAATATTTAAAAATGGAAAAAACATGTCAACATATCACACTATCCATGACAACACAAACTGCCAAAGACTTAACACAAGAATATGTATTTTATCAACACTGCTAGTAGCTGGAAAGCAAAGCTGCAATAGCATAAGTACTAAAATTTGAGTTCTGTGTTAAAAGCATGGCAGTTTTTCACAAGCCTGTTGTACAAGCAGTGAAAGGATGTTCTGTAAGCCACAAAGATTCATGTCTCACTGTCCAGAGCCTGGTTTGAAGTTTAATGACACACTGTTGATACAGAACCTCTGCCCAGAAGGTGTGGGACCATCATCAAACACATGGCCTAGATGAGCGTCACACTGCAACAGAAATTACGTACCATTATTACCATTAAAAATATGGCCCAACATTGTGCTGCTATCTACTGTGCTATCTTGAATGAATAAACTTCTCTGATGTCTCTCTTGGGGAGAGATCTCTGGCCAGTGGGTGAATCCCAAGATGCAGTGTGTTAAAATAAATTGCTTATTTTTATACCTTGACAGCAGTAATAACACAGATTTAGGGTTGGGAAGAAATGGTTAGGGGAGGCAGCTCTTTAGAAAAAGGCCTGGGTGTCACAGCAGGTCCTGATAAAAGCAGGGGTCATGGGTTTGGGAAAGGTAAAGGTGCAAGGACAGGAACACCATCTATAATGCACCTAAAGAGCCTCTACTCTCCGGGACAGGCCATGCCCAGCTGCAGCAACGGGTCCAGGTTTGCACTGTACTTTGAGAAGCAAAAGGATCGATCAGAAGGAGTGCAAAATACAGCAACGAGAGGACCAGCACTTTAAAAAACACTGCATAGAAAGGAACAATTGAAGGAATGGAGCCTTTCTAGTCTAGAACAGAGATAAGGGAGTCAAAATAACTTCCCAAAAAGAGAAGGGTGGCTTCTGTGAAACAAGAGAACTTGTAGAAGACAGCTGTGAAGTTGCAGGCCACCACCATCGCCATGCAGGGCAAATAGCAATAAGCTTCAACTGCTGAAAAGCAAACTTAGTGCTTTCCCCAGTGTCTAACCAATAGTAGGAAGAGATAAATGTTACAGCTCATTATCTAGTAAGGCCATGGAGTTGTCATCACTGCACATTTCAAGACCATCTTCAGCAAACACCTAACAGAACTGAATTAGGAAGAACCAACCCTGTGATGGGGCAAATGGCTAAATCTGAGTCCCTTCTACTGTCTGTTGTCACGTACTGCTGTTCACCTGGGGTCTTCCGAATTAATTTTCTGCCTAAACTCCAGCCCTTGAGTATACATACACAACTACTCTCCTCAGTCACATCATTTGTTGCACCCCATCCTGACTGCCTATATTTGATACTTTACTCATGTGTTTCATACCAAGAAGTGAGACAGAATGGTTCCAGTGATACCATAATTCTCACTGCTGCAGTTAGATTAATTGATGGGCACAAAACCCCCTTATTTGTTAAGATCTAGGTCTTTTGGCTCTCACCTCCAAAATAAACATACCTGTTTGCAGACGACTTCAGTTCTAGTTGATCCCAATGAGTTATCTGGTTGTCTCATGATATTGGTGTTACTTTCATCTCTGCCACAAGTACCATAAGCTTCAGAAAATGATGGCCATCCAGTCCCAGAATTGTATTTCTTTTCTGAGCTGTAGTGGAAATCAGATCTTCTTGTTAATGAATAACAGAGATGTTACAAAAAAAAGTCTGGTTTTAGTAAGATCATTGGCGTTTTTCCTCACCCTTGTCTTGTACTATTAGTGACATTTGGCACAGTAAAAGTTTTCTCACTGGCATCAAACTGTGCTGGAATCTCTTCTGCAAAGGAAATTCGTGACTAGACCACAACGGGAGCTATTGCCTCACCATGTCCAGTGCGCTGACAGTTTGGTATTTTCTACAGCTTGAAAGAAGGTTTATTCCAATAACCGAGCACATGATTTAGCTGAATTACACCTGCAAACTTGTAGTTTGCAGCCTGGTTCAATACAGCACAACCTTCGAGAAAGGAGTTTACAAGAAGAAACAAAAGTATGGAAAATTAGCATAGAAAATGGCTGGGTTGGTCCACCAGACCAGGCTCACATCTGCTGATGGCTTTGGCTTGCAATGACCCATCAAAACAGCTTAGTATTCCTGTTGACAGACAGGATTATCAACCCTATTTAGTTGCAAATTAAAACCTAGAGTGTATTGAGGAATATGATCAGAAAATACTTGGGGCACTTAGCATGCAGGTATGAGGTCATGCCTCCTACTTAAAGTTGTGTTGGCAATGAACACTCTTCTCCAGCGAAGGGTAACCTAGTGTGTTAGAGCAAGAAATGAAGGCAGAATCACATACAACTGGGATAAGTCAGTCGTCTGGAGACCAACCACAACCGTTTCCTCCCCGTTTCCCGAACCCAATGCTCTTACTGGCACCTAGTGGTGGATAGGGCAGCAACACCAGCAGCAGCTTTTCTGGGATCAAGGGGATTAGTCCATTAGTCAAAATAGAATTGAAAGCAAAACCTCTAATATATATCATGTGTATTTTGGTGGGATATTAATACAGTCAAGAAAAATCTGGAAATCTGACATGCAATACCTTTTAGAAAGACAAGATAAACAAGCAGGGCAAAAAGCTTAAAAAATTCAACCCAAAGAACAGTGCATGCTGCAGCATTGTATGTACATTGTATGTACAGGGCTGTCTTTCAGCAATGCAACAGTGGAAATAAAAGAGGATTTTCAAATACAGAATGACCAAAAGCTCGTTAGTGTGTGGCTGTTGCTCAGTCCATTGCATCAAGCCACAAAGACCCATGAGAAAATGCTCTCCTACCACCTCCGTAAAACCAGGGAGAAATTTGGCACAGCACAGAAGCAGGCTGCACCAAAGCAAATGCAGTTTGAAGTCTCTACGTTTATACAAGAAGGTATTCAAGGCTCCAGACCTACTTCCTTCTGGCCAAAGAGGGCACCCTGCCTTCCCTGCTTCTTTTTACAAAAACCACACTAACACTGTGCTTACCAGCCAGAGTCCCAAAGAATAACCTGGGGGAACACAGACGTCTGTACATGACCTCTGAGTTTCCCTGACATATAGCTGTGCTGTTTCTTTTTATATTTTCAAAATACTTCAATTTTTTGGACACAGGGGTCTTGCTCCTTATTCATAAACAGATATGAGTATCCTCTCTGAAACCCTGTAGAGTCAGGGAATGTCTTGAATACTGTGAGGGTTTTGCATCTGACCCTGACTGACTCCATTCCTTACATGCCGTTCCCAATACTTAAGTTTATTGTAGATGTTTTCCACTGCTAAAGAATCAATCTTTCGAGCTGTTAAACTAGCTCTCCACAGAAACGGTCTCTATGTGGTTTTATTAACAGTAATATCACTTAGATTCCCTAATAGAAACATTTTAGTACCCAAAAATATTGCTACTCAAGACCATATTCATCCTTTGAAGTATTTCACCACTTAATTTATGGATAAATGGACTTTCCCTAAACATATGCATTAGATTAGCCTTCGACGCACCATTCCTCCAGCACATGTCATTTACTTTGATCCCTATTTCAGTTGTCCTGGATGGAAGCCAGATAATTCTAAAAAGTGCTTTTTGCTGTATGAATCTCAGCTGTAGGCTTATGGTTGGCTAAAGGTTTGAGATTTCATTATAGCCACCACAATTTGCCATCTATAAAGGTTAGGGGTTTGTTCCATGTATTTCAAGCTCTTTCAAATGAATATTTGGTAGCAGAAAGTAATAAATTTTGGTATAAATGTATATATACACATGTACTTTGAAAGAAAGGAGGAAATGCTTCATGTTTACCTGTAGCTAATGATCTAATACATTTGAAAAAGAAAGGATGTTTCAAATGCATGCAACATGATGAATTAATCTCTTTATCAAATACCATTTTTGCCCCTCATGGTAAGTGCCCTCCAAAGCATAAAGCATTCATGCAGAAAGGATTTTCAAATAATTTTGCACATTTGATAATTTTCAATTTTCTTAAAAGGTTTTTTGTTATTTTGTTTGTGGATATTTTTTTTTCTGTAAGTTTGGGGGATTTTTATTTCCCTGTGTCAGCCTGTAAGGCTCAGCATTAGTTTATGCTTTAAACAAAAGTACCTATATTCTCTGAGAACTGGATACTGCAAAAATTAGGATGACTATTTGGTTGTATTGTAGTTTAGTTAACAGTTAAGCAGCAGAAGCAATTCCCTCCAGTGCTCATCTCCCTTCATGTTGGCCTGTCAATATCTATTGTCTAATATGAAGGATGTCTAGATTGAGGGAACATTTGAAGGAATTGAAGGAACTCTTCCACAGCTTAGCAATTTAAAATTTCTCTAATTTATCTGAATTTTCCAGAGGTATTTTTATTTGTGTTCAGGATATTCTGCAATGCTGCACCAGCTTCTGAAATAATTTTATTCAAAAGCATTTAGTAGCAAACCTTTACAGAAGAATATGCATTTAATAAAATATTTAATTGCATTACAATAGTTTTCTTGGCCAAAGGAAAACAAACTATTCACAATATTCAGCCTCCAATGTTAACATTTAATTTCTTAGTTTTGGTTTATTTTTAACATAGTCAGTACATTTTTTTCCTCCTCTATCAAGACCTATTGTTCTTCAGCTTCCCATCTGAAGTTCTAATTTGAAGCGTCCTTTAAAGTATTCATAAAAATGGGCATATCAGCTGAATTCCATTGAACTCACAGTTGGAAATATAAAAAGGCTATTTTCTAGATAAAAAATATGAGGAACTGTCTTTTCTGTTTCAGTTACAGAGACCAGAACACTCTCTGTGCATCCCACTCTGAGGCACTCTGTTTCTTTTTACTTAGATTTTAATGAAGTTGCAAAATATGTAGTATTGTAAAGAGCACTGAGGTTAATAGTGCAGTCGTTTGCAGTCAGGTTTTTTAAGTAGATGTAACAAAACCGCAAAAATAGCCAAATTTAATTTAGGGAACAAGGGGTTGAAGAGGAGGTGTCAGCTACAGTATGGGGGACCTAGCAGTAAGAACACAGCAGCCAGACTAAGGCAGCCCAAAGGTCTCTCTAAGCTCAGTGGCATGAGAGACAGGAGATGACTATGGAAAAGCACAAGAAGAGGGAATAAACACGTATATTTTGTGGCAAGTTCTGGTTTAGGGAACCTCTTCAGAAGAGAATTATTATCAACCAAAAAGGACAGTGTGTGTAGCAGGAAGGAAAGGCAGACCCTAAGGTAGCAACTACTGTCTGCTGGCCAGTGGAGACCCTCAGATGCTCAAGAAAAGGGCACACACCATGTACCTGTATCACCACAGGTATCTTGGCAATCTTATACTTAGCACTCAGGCAACACAGGATTGCTCTCCTGACCTATGCTTTCCATTCCTCTCATGAAAAGACACCACCCCTCCTGCCACAGTTGCAGCATTTTACAGATGCTGTGAAGCCTGAAGGGTGTTACCTGAACAGTGGGGCATTGCAGCACACGCAGCAGTATATTCCCGATTCTGTGTTATGCAGATAGATTCCACTGAATGGCTTTTAAAAAAGGAAGAAAAAAAGAGAAGTTAATAATGCAGGTCTTTAAAAGCTCACCATCTGGAACAACCATGTAGGAATCAGATTCAAAACAGGAGAAACACCATAAAAAGAAGGCTTCACAGGGGGGCTTTGAAGAATAAACATTAGCAGCCTAAAGAAATTAAGGGGAGGGTGCCTTTAGATTAATAGTGAAGACTACCCCTTGCCCCCAGAAACTTTGAGACAGTCAGATGCATAAATCATCCAGGTACCAAGGCTGGAGTCGTGACCTCTGAGGAACTTGTAAGAAATGCAGGATCTCAAAGACCAGGGCTCTGCTACAGAGTGCCACAACTTCAAAGTTGCTCTACAAAGGGACTCTCCTCCTCTTTGCTTAGTCTGGAATTGGGATCCTCATTTTACAGATAAGAATTTGGGCACAGTTCACACGATTTAATCCCACAATAGATGCTCTGCAGGCAGAAGCCCTGGCTCTGGGCTCGGGCTGCTGGTGCTCCACACACAACACTATATGGCTTCCATCAGAGAAGGAAGAAGAGCATGGGGACAAGGTCTGTGGGTGATATGACACACGAGGAATAATCTGGCTCCTCAATAGAGTGCTATATGTAAAATTTCCAGGGTGAATCTATATGTGACTAAAAAAATGAGACTGCAGGACAAAAATATTATCTTCTTCCTCCCCTCTGGAGAGACCTCCACTATTGCCACACAGACAGGTAAGCTGGCAGTAAAGCATCCCAGAGAAAAATAAAATATGAAAAGAAAATTGAATGTTTTTTCATCTGCAAACCAGCCTGGGTCAGAACAAAATCCACCTGGTTCAGTATTAATCTAATTTTCATCCACAGAAAGGCAGGAGAAAACCTGTGAAGCAACTGAGTGATGAGAGCTCCCCAAAGCAGGTTTTTCTCTGCCCAGCAGGCAGAGGTATTAGCTTAACCTTGAACAGCATTAGTGCTTTTACTTACTGGTTCAGTTCCTTTTTGTCTTGTAACATAGAATTGCTCTGGAGTCAATTTTTTTTTCCAGTCTGTAGCAACAGTTGCTTCAGCTTGTTTAGTCAGAGAACCTTTGTCTTCAATTAGAAATAGAAAGATAATTTGTATTATTTTACCACTGTTCTAATCACTCCTTTATCATCTCAATTCTCCCAAAGTTTCTGTGGGTACAGAGCACAGGAGGGCAATTCAGGGACATAAGAGCAGGGGTGAGTGCAGGACTTTGCATCTGCTTTCCATTCTGTGGACTACATATGGAGAGCAGCTCCAGCACATCACCTGGGAAGACTCTGAACAGAAATGATCACCTATGAACCAAGACACCACCCACTCACTCAGCTCAGCCTTTTGTTCTGGATGCCCTCTCCCTGGGAGTGTTCAAGGACAGGTTGGATGAGGCTTTGAGCAACCTGGTCTAGTGGAAAGCATCTCAGCACATGGCAGGGGGGTTGCAACTTGATGATCTTCTAGGTCCCTTCAAACCCAAACCATTCTTTGATTCTGTTATAGCTTGAGGTAACTGCTGGCCTCCTGGTGCTCCTTCCTCATCCCAGGGTACTGCTGAAAGGTTTGGTAGTTTGCCACTTGGAAACCCTCAGAAACCAGAACTAGTGCTCATTTCCAGGCTGTCAAAGACTAGACACTTCCACGGGCATCAGTGGAAAGTGGTGCTAAGAAAGAGCACAGGAATAAACCAACACCTACAGCCCAAGAGAAACAGGGCCTAAGAGAGCAGCAGCCACTCATTCCAGTGCCAACCTCCAGCAGTGCCTGCTCTGATTCTGCACACACTGTCTGTGTGCTCACGGTGGCGTGAGACTGACCAAGATATTAATAGATTGGCTGGAAAACGAGGAGTAAAATAGCTTCATTTCTTCCTCATCAAACAGTCTGAGGTGGGAAGCCACATCCCTGCTTATCTCCAATCAGCAGAGTATACGTGAATAAAACCAGCTCCCGAGCGAGGAACCTGGGCTCGTCTCGCGCAGCACGGAGCTGATACGGGGGGTAAACGTGGAACTGGAAAGTCTCCCTTTAGCTATAAACACTATAGCTCTGCCTGCCAGCTCCGGAGCAACAACCGCAGCAGCCTCACATCGTCCCCACCGCCAGAGGACGGCGGGGCCGGGGATGCCCTTCCCCCCCCATCCTCCCGGGGGAGGTACCTGTGCCCTCCCGGGGGAGGTACCTGTGCCCCCGGGGCCGGTGCGGGAGCGGAGGAGGAGAAGGCGGGTCCCGAGCACCCTTCGGAGCAGAAGAGCCGCCATTCCTGCGGGGCGGGACCGATCCGGACGTTCAGCCTAAAGAGCTGCACCTTACAGGAGCGAAGCACCCGCTAAAATCCCGGTGCTGCCTCTGCAGGTCAAGGTTTCAGTCCCTTGGCGAGAGGCGAAGAGAGCGGCTCACAAACAGGACGCCTGGTGCAGCCATGGAAACCGCAGGGACCCGCCCGGGCAGCTGATGCGGCCGCTCGAGGTGGTTTTGAAGGAGAGCGAGTCCAGTATTTGCATGCAAAAGTGCTCCTGCTCTGCTGAGTGAACGCTAGAGGCTCTTGATTGAGTAATTGTGAGGGTGATGAGCAAAGTGGCCACGTGTTTACACCGTGTGATTTGCAGTCACAGCTGCGTTGCTTTGGTCTATAAATATCCCTTCAGTAGGACCTGTGTGTTAGTTTGGCCTCCTGTCCCTAAAATGTAGGCCTAAACACAAGTCAGTTTGCTAAGCTAAGCTTTGTTGTTGTTTGTTTTTTTCCAGTAATTGCATTTCTGATTTGGAATTAGTTCATCAGTGCTGAATGATGTGGAAGGAACTGTTTTCATTGCATCAGGTAACAAAGCTAATAATGGTGTTTAATACAAAGTAGCTTTATTTTTTTGTCTAATCTTTTTAGCCTAATCTCTAAATCAAAGCTAAAAAAAAATGGTGTTGTGTGCTCAGTTTTGTGTATACACATGCATTTTATTGAACCAACCTCATGCCTAAGCTGGTGAGTTCAACAGAACCCCCTGCATAACGTGTGGTTGGTACCATGGCTGTAATCAAAAACTCTGCTCAGACCCACTAAGCCATGCATGGAAAGGTGGAATGAGGCAAGGCTCATAGATAATCACATTCTGTCTGCAGTGGCAGGGGAGAAGGGGGCACAGAGTTGATTAATGGTTTTGTCCTGTATAATAAGACACAGTGGAGTGAAGCCAGAGTACCTTGATAAAAATCCTGGAGATACGTGCCTGTGGTTCCTCAGGACTATGATTCAGGGAAGCAGGGCTGCTGGGCACTGAGGAGAGGGCAGGGTCTACACTGCAGGCAGAAAGACAATGTTTTTCCATGTTCAGTCATTTGGGGAAGTGAAGATCAGAGAGAGATGTTTCCATGAAGATCAGAGAAAGATCTTTCCAAGCTCCCTTGTAGCAGTCATTTAGCCACTGTTTAAGAGGGAATCGGAATATGTTAGGAAGCCCTTGGAGAGGAGAGACCAGATTTGGCACTCCCCTGTTCTGGCAGATGACTTGGGGCTGGAAAGCAGTGGCAAGAGATGGTATCACTCCTGGGGCTCACTGCCACTATCTCCAGCTCAACCCTGGAAGAAAGGCATTTACCTCCCGTTCCTGGCCTTGGTCTCAGGCAATGTTTGCTGCTGAGCAGGACAGGTAATCAATCGAGTTCTCCCTGAAGTATCTAGGAAATTAAGGAGAGTGAGAGAAAGTGATTACTCCTGAAATTTGCATGTTTTAATGTAATTGACATTGATTTAACTGGATCTTCTTTTAAAGACAAAATTAAAAGCAAAACAAAACACATCAGTATCTTCCTTGCAGCTCTGTTACTGGTGCTATCCCAAAATGCACTAATTTCAAGGCAGTGGGAACTGAACCAGCACAGCTCCATTGCTGTGCCACCTTCCCCAGGCCCTGGAGGAGGGAGCAGGAGCCTGGGCTGTGACTCCAGGGAGCAGAGGAGCAGGAAGCATTAGGCTCAGCAGCCCCAGCCTCCACATCCCCTCTGTTCCCCAGCGTGCTGCAAACCACTGCCTGGTTAAAATGAGCATGGCTGTGGAAGAGGCAGGTGTGTTCATCCCAAGGGCTGTGATCCAGGCCGGAGGGTGGGTGCTGGCAGAGCAGATCCTCCATTTTTCCCTCCAACAGGAGCCTGACCTTCAGTCCTTCGAACCAGCGTGACAGGTCTTCCTCAAGCAGAAAACACCTCCCCAGCTGGAGGCGTTTCATTTTTTGGATCTTCAGTGCTGAAAAACCAAATCATTGTCCTGTCATGCCTGTAATATTGCCTCCCATGGTTACAGCACATACCAAGCTCCGTAGCTAGGCAGAGAACCAGCCTGCATTTCTCCCCATAGACTCTTATAAAAGTCAATTAGGCTGTTACTTAATTTTCCTCCTTTTTTTTCTCCCTTACGCTGAAGGGTAAGCAGTTTAAAGTCTCCCCTAGCTACATTATGTAAATTTTCAAGTAAATTCTCCCTGAATTGTAATCCAGTGGGTTTATCGTTAATAATGTTGCCTGACTCCAGCACATACACAAGCTGCATCCTGGGAAGGGTCACTAATGCTGTGTTAGATGTGTGTGGACGGGGGAGAAGCTCCTCATGTCCTCCTGTGGTGCTGCTTTGCATGGAGGCAGCAGCAGCAGCATGTGTGTAGGCGGGTGAAGGCAGGAGTAGGAGGGAAGCAGTCACGGTCCAGACTATCCTGCTAATATTTATTCGGGCTCTAACCATTTCCCAGCCCAGGCTCTGTATTGACTGACAGCTCTGGGGACAAGCAGAGCATCACATACTGCCTACGCTGGCAGATACTGAGCAGTCAGGCAGGAAGCAGTGAGGTGCAGAAATCAAATGAACCCTATTCAAAGTCAAACCTCTGCTTAAGCAGCTTTTGTTAAAGCCCCTTGACATTGCTACGTATAGAAGAAAACACTGCTATTTGTATTTTGGATGCATTTGTATGGAATCAGTCTTCCTCTACATATTTTTTCACACCTAAGGTATGTCCCATCCTAAGGGATGTTCCTGTTGAAATGTATGGGATCTCAGCATACAAGAATTTGGCTTGGACCTGTCATATGTCGTGGTACTGTGAGTCCAGGTCTCTGGTGAATGAAGGAAAGGGAATTAGCATGAGCATTTTGGTGGGTAGGTTGAATCTGTGGCAGGCTCCATTTTCCCCACAGAAACCCTCACTGCTTTTGTAGGAGGTGATCACAGGAACTCCATGTCCTTCCTCAGCAGAGCCTTCCCTCTCCTCTAACAGACTGGATAAAACTCCACAGCTATTTTCAAGCCACTCAGATGTGATGAAACTCTGACTCCTGGTATATGGAGATAAGTTTCCACATGGAAACACTATCCAGAGATATGCAGTAATACTCTGGTGCTGAATTCCAATGATGGAGTGGGATTTCAGCAAGAATTATTAGTAGCAGAAGTGCCAAAGCATCTTGGAAAAGAGTATTGCTGGTTTCCAGAGGCACGGAGAGACTGGACAAAGATCTGAGCCTCTCTGAAGCTGATCCATGGATCCTGCCAAGATTCATTTGTGGAGTAGCCTGATGTGATTCAGATCAAAGATATAATCAGAAATAATGATCACACTGCTTCTTGCCTTGTTTGCTTTATGGTTTAACATGTCTTTTTGCTAATTGTAAGCTAGAGGATACCTAATTATTCTGACCTCTGTCCTTAGAAAAAAATAGGTCATGTTTGTGGACTAGCCTTCTGCTGGAGTCTGAGGATGAGGTTTGAGGAGAGAGGAGAAGAGCGGTGGGGGGCGGGGGTGGAGAGGAGGGGAGTGGAGGAAAGAAGAGGAGAGAATTTGAGTTGGAAGGGACCTGCAAGTTTTGTCCACTATGACAAATGCTTTGCGTTAGATTAGACCAAATGCCCTCCATGGGTCCTGTCCAGCATAAATTATTCTAGCATTTGAAATACTGTGAGAAATTTCTTGCAAAATGAGTGAAGACATGAATTCAAAGTGAAATGGATATTTTGCAATCACTCCTTGATAGAAAACTCCACTCTGCAATCAGGCCGCCTGTTCAGCTAAATGTAATCCATTTTGAAAAGTAGACACACTCTGGGATGGAGTGAGTGTATCTGCAGGGGCGGCTATGGGAAGGTTACAGGCTGTTTCCCCAGGTTGCCCCATGCGTCCCCAGTATCATACCATCCAAATTCCTTGAGCCACATGGACAGTAATAAATACATTCCACAAAGTTGTGTGTGATTTTTTATCCTTCATACCTCAAGGTAGTGAGGAACTGGGATGGTTCTTCTTCCACCTAGTGCCAAAGCATGAACAAAGCATTGAATGAACAGTTATTTGGCAGCAACTGCTGTAGCAGCAGCTTTCTGCAGGTTATCTTAATGGATTTATCACCCTGAACTAAGCCCTGACCATCTGTTCTATCCTCTAATCACAGATGCAGAAAAAGCTAATTCACAATTGCATCATAAAAAAGTGAAATATAAGTGATTTAAGAGTGGGGTATGTCATGCTTCACACTCTGATTGGAGGAAATTGCTTTCCCTTCAATAAACTGAGTACCCTGGTAACAGAGTTTGTCTCTTTCCCAGCAAATGGGAATTCCTCAGGAGTAGGGCACACCAGAAGAAGGTTTTATTCCCGCTCACTCATAGAATGAAAAAATCATAGAATCAATCATAGAATCACAGAATGGTTTGGGTTAGAAGGAACCTTAAAGATCTCTAGTTCCAACCCCCCTGCATGGGCAGGGACACCTCCCACTAGACCAGGTTGCTCAAAGCCATCATCTTGGTTGGATCATCTTAGAGGTATTTTAAAATTTGGGATTCACTGCAGTAAAAAACCTTTTTTCATTCTGTCTTAGATGAGCCCCAAAATGTGTATTTTTAATGTATTTTCTAACCAGGAAAAGCATAAACTCATCATGCTCCTTAAAAATCCCTTACAACTGTATTTCCTCCATCTCACTTTTGCCGTGATGCAGCCATGTCTGGCAGAGTCTCCCACTCATTTTGTTCTGGTAGCTCATCTTCACTGCATTGTTCTTGGCTTGGAAGACCAGCAGAAAGCAGGGTGCTGGGTGCATGTCCTGCTTCTCATGAATGACCTTTAAGTCTTTCCTGCTGCCACTGTCCGAGCCATCAGCAGGGGGAGTGGTTTAGGTGGGAGTTCAAGTTCTGCTTCACTTGTGTTGTGTGGGTAAGGCCTCCTGGCAGTGTCTGTCCTCTGGAAATCTTATACTAAAAAATAGATGCAACTGGACAAGT